AAGCATTTAATTTCTCATCAACTGGACTTTAAGCCCACCGACATATTCAAAACCAAACTCAATGAAAGTAACAGTTTAATTCGTGGCTGCACGTAGGTGAAACCCCAGGGTACCTACGTATCCTTTGGTGAGGGATCAAGCCACACGTAGTTCTTCGATCAATAATCACAAACCAGATAATATACAATTATTTTTAGTAATACCAACAAGTTAATTCTAGAATCATCCTTTCCCTTTAAGTAAAATCACAATATCTCAGCTCAAGAACACCAACCCATTATTCTTTACTCACTCCATTCTTAAGACTCATGACTCAGCAACCTTTTCCTATGACAATTCACATATGCTAAGCATAATTCTTTTAAACGTTAATTTTTTTCCTGCCATAGAATAATAATCATTTTTCCTCTCCCTATTATTTTACTACATGCTGGAGAGTCCAACGCCAAGCGTAGTAAAGTAACAGTAACCAAAGTGTCCGAATCATTTACCACACGCCGGGAAAATCCAACGACACGTGTGGTAAAGTAACCAGTATCCAAGTGAGCACACACGCCGAAAAATCCAACGCCACGTGTGGCCCAACCAAACCATGTCCTATGCGCGCAGACTGCTTTACCACACGCCGGAAAATCCAACGTCGAGTGTGATAAAGTACTAACACCACCAAGTAAGCCTACACGCCGGAAAATCCAACGCCACATGTGGCTAAACCAATCCATGTCCTACGCGTGTGGACTGTTTTACCACACGCAGGAAAATCCAACGGAGCCCACACGCCGGAAAATCCAATGCCATATGTGGGTATAGTAACCAAGGAAGGTACATATCCTGATGCAAAATTCCAATTTCCCGAAACAAATTGTTTCCATATAACATAAATATATATAATAAAATAACAGCCATACTTCCTTTTTGAAAACCATAATAAAACCATAATTAAGAAAAACACCAAAACTAAATAAGCCCATTCGATTTTATTAATATTCAAAACACTTTTCATATACTTAAGGAAATATACAACCTCTGAAAATCCCATAAGACAAGATAATAAAATCCAAAACACCATATTTAAAATTCCCAAAACCATAGCCCATCAATGTATACACACCAATTCTAAAAATCTCAAAGATATTGAAATTCAAAGTTCGATAACTGTTGTATTTGTTAACTGACACAAATTAATGTGCAAACAACCAATTAAAAATACATGCAAGTGCACGAATCTATTAAGGTATAGATTATGTAAGTACGGGGTGAATCCCACAAAGAACTGTCGGTTTCCTACAAGTTCTAATTTGAGTATGTAAAGAACACTTATTTAACACACCACACATGCACAAAACAAATTGGAAACTAAAAATGAGTAAAGAAAGGTAAAAGAAAAGAAACAAAACAAGAAACCAAAGAAAAACACAAACAACACTTTCTCTCACCCTTCTATCACCACTGTATCACCTGTTTATCACTAGTGAACAGTGCGTGAACAGTGGCTGGCGACCGGTCGTTTTCAACAGTAACGACCGGTCGTTTTTTGGCATATTCGTTTTCTCTGTTTTTCAGTTTCAACCTCTGTCCAGTTTTTGACCTATAACTTTCAAACCATTTGTCCAAATTTTAAGTTCTTTATACGGTTGGATTCAGCACAGAAAAATAAAGAACACTACACGGACCAAAAGTCGAAAACAGTTACGGAAATAAAAAGAATTCAATGGAGAAAACACACAACGTTTCCCACAACACAAACACACACACTTGGGGGGGAGGGGGGGTTGATTTGATTTGAGTGACCTATTTCTAATGCTTGAATGTAAATGAACTCTAATTTAAACAAGAATGACAAGAATGAAAATCAAATTGTGAAATTAAAATGTAACAAACACTAAGGTTTCGGAGTCCACCCTAAACAATCCTACCCATGTCCGTGGACACTCAAGTAATGAACTCTAAACGTATTGATGAAGATGTTCGCAATCAAGACCGGGACTAGTGGCTCAAGACACATTGATTCTCTCTAATATACGTAAAGTGCAGGGCTAGTGCTACAATACTTGTGCCTTCCCTATAACCAAATCTAGGTGTGCTTAGTACTTCAATTCAATTACAAGAAAAACCCATTAAGTTCAAAGAGAATATGAACATCACAAGAACCCTAATAGCATGATGTTTACATTAGGTATTCAAGAAACCAATTCACATGGATGATTCTTACTTCATCCATTTATTGCTTAGGAAAACATGAAGAAACACATAATCCCAACAACCTCAAGAAGCATGCTTTCTAAGGTAATCAATCAAAGGAAAATATACATCAAGGATAGATTATTTTAGTGAAGAGGAATTCATCAATTGTTGTCAAGAAACCAATTCACATGATGCTCACTTAAACAAGTTCAATCATTTGTTGCTAATTAGAAATTATGTTCTTGGGTATCTTACACAACTTCTCAACTTTAGCTACATGCATACAACCTAAGGTGATTAATCAAAGGAAGCAAACACATATCATAAGATTCAATTAGTGAATGGGATTCATCAACAACATCTAAAAATTCATACACTCAAAGCATCAAAACAATAAGGTATTCATGTTTAGGGCTTCAACCTAAGCCCTAACTATGGAGTTTAGTTACTCATACTTATTTCAAATACAAACTCAAAACAAAACTAGAAAGAGTTTATAGATTTTGTGAAAATGGGAGCTCAAGGTCTTCAATGGTGGAAATCTCTTCCACTTCTTGCTTTGTTGCCCTTGTCTTCCTCCTTGAGCTCCCTAGCTCTAAGCTCCCAAAAATCTCTGCAAAGTTGTAGAATGATAGAATGGAATTCAGATTCCAATGGCGGCCTCCTTCTTTGCTCCCTTCTCTCCTCCTTTCCAGCTTTTACTTTTAATATAAAA